TTTTTTTTTTTTTCTTGTTTAATTTGATTTTTTTGATTTATTGTATTTTTCTTGACTATTTTATTAATGATCACCAAATCGATTTAAAAATCTTCATCTTATAAACCATAGACAATCCGGATTCAACTTACGAACGTTTCAAAATCCGGATTCATATATTATACCAAAACAGATTCAACTTAGGAACCTTTCAGAAGTCCTCATATAACAATTTGTTAGTTCTGTCGAAGAAACTACCTCTCATCATCATCATTCCATCGTATACCGAGTGTGTGAACAGCAAATTATATCCTTTTAGTGAGTTTTTTCGATATATACCGTAAAATTATACCTTGTGGCCTGTTGACTCGCTTGAAAAAATAAATGTGTACTCAAGGATATTGTGGGTAATTGTAGTCTTGTATGTTATTTATATTATGTCAATATAGGTGTGTGTATATGTGTCCGAGTGAAGTGTTTGAGGAATGAAAGTTTTATACTTGTGTACAGTGGTATTGGTTACACCCCCCTACCCCCTCCCTCCTGCCCCTTCCCTATTCCCCTTCCTTCCTTCTGCCCCCTCCCTATCCCCCCCTCCTTCCTCCTCCTCCCGCGTAATAGTGTCCTCACCTATATCTTCTTTATTCTGAACTATAGGGTTGTTCACCTGGTGTTTGATGTTGTTGCTGACCTGAATACAACTCCTTATCATTCCCTTCTGTGACCTGACCTCCCATCAATATGATTCCTTTGACCCCTTCTGACCTTCCAGTTTTGACCTACTAGTATGGTGACCTCTTATCGGTGTGACCCTTCTGACCTTTCACTTTAACCTCTTATCAGTATGATCCTTCTGGCATTTCACTTTGACCTCCTGACCTCAGTCCAGTGTAGGTAGGGAAAGGTGTGTGTGTGTGTGTGTGTGTCCCCTACGATGTCACAAAAAATGGGAAAGGAGTAAAGGAGAAGGAAAGTTAGCTCGTTGGTCGGTGGTAGTGATGATCGCTGGGGGCGTTCACTGCCTCTTGAGCCCTGAGGCGTAGAGCTTTATTCTGGCGAAGTGAGGTGAGGTGAAGTGAGGAGAGAAGGGAGGGCAGAAGCTTCATTTAAGTGAGGGGAGAATAGAATATTTGATGAGGGTTAGGTGAGGGTATGGTAGGATCTTTATTCAGGTAAGAGAGCAGTTGTAAGGTGAGAGAAGAGGGTCAAGATAAACTGTACAGGTGAGGGCAGGTGAAGACAGGTGAGGACAGGTGAAGTCATAATAGAATCTCGACTTAAGGTGTATAATCTTTTAGGTACACAATGTGAAGTGAGGTTAGAATCTGACCTAAGGGGAGGGGAAGGCAGGAGGGGTAACCTTAACTTCTCACGACGTAAAGAGAGAGAGAAGAATTTATTAACGTGATCTAAGGGGAGAGTATTGGCTTCCCGCGACCTAAAACGAGGTAAGAATAGCTAGTTCCGCGACCTAAAACGAGGGTAAGAATAGCTAGTTCCGCGACCTAAAACGTAAACAGAATCTTTTAATACAACCTGGACGGAGGAAATATTAGAATACCATCCCGGTAATGATGAAACAGTAGTGTCGTCCTTATGCTAGCTGTCAGAGAGGTCGACAGTCCCTTGGCCTTTACGCAAAAATGTTTGTGAACAATGAACAGATGTTTATGTAAACCAGATGTGAGAATTCCCCTGCAAGGTGAGAGAGAGAGAGAGAGAGAGAGAGAGAGAGAGAGAGAGAGAGAGAGAGAGAGAGAGAGAGAGAGTACTAAAAATAAACATCATCTACTCTTACTTATGTAAATCACATTCAAATTGATTAATTATGACAAGGTGATGAAAGGACGGGGGAGGAGGAGGGAAAAAATCTTCACGAAGCTGCTGTAAAGAGTTATATATTACCATTAGTGGCAGAGTGGTTAGCATACTGAACTGGCAGAAGATTGGGCCATGGTTCGAATATCAAATGAGGGTGATTTTATACTTTGATGTGAGAGACAGCGTGATGGCCATGGCCCCTCTCGTCGGCTTACTGTCAATACATAAAGCAATTGAGGGAGAGAACACATTGTACCTCAGTCAGCTTGTGTGTGGGTGTGTTGCGTGGGTGTGTTGCGTGGGTGTAAGGATAAGGAGGGTTTAGCTATAGAGGTTGCCTTGGGCGTGAATAATGGAGGGTGTTATTTGTTACCTATTATTGACGTGGGCGTAGCGGAGGAGAGGTGTTAGCTATAGAGGTTGCCGTGGGCGTGAATAATGAAGGGTGTTATTTGTTACCTATTATTGACGTGGGCTTGACGGAGGAGAGGTGTTGCATCAGCGTGTCATCCAGGGGACGTGTCATCCTGAGGGGGTCGTCTCGGGAGTGTTGTGGTCGATGAACCTAATTGTTTATGACTCCTGCCCTCTGTGTGTGTGGCCGAGGTGGCGCCTTTTGTTGTGATGGTGTGTGGGAGGGTATGGGTGGGGGTGTGAGGGGCCGGGGGTGTAGGGGATGGTGTGTGGGAGGGTGTGGGTGGGGGTGTGGGGGCCGGGGTGGGGATGGTGTGTGGGAGGGTGTGGGTTGGGGTGTGAGGGGCCGGGGGTGTAGGGGATGGTGTGTGGGAGGGTATGGGTGGGGGTGTGAGGGGCCGGGGGTGTAGGGGATGGTGTGTGGGAGGGGTTATGAGGGTTTGGAAGAAGATGTGATGGTTTATTGGAGAATGAGAGGGGATGTGGGGGTGATGTGAGGGTGTAAGAGGGGTTGTGATGTGTGTGATGTGTTACCATGGAAAAGGTTGTGAATTTGTGGTGGTATAGGTTACGTGATAACTAACCATCTCTCTCTCTCTCTCATAGTGGTCGGATATATGATAAACTAACACCTAATTAATTAAAATGGTCAGTAGTGCTTGGGATACAATGATCACCTGATTCCTTGCTGCTGGTGTGATAAAAGACAATGAATGATGAAACTAATAGAAAAACAAAAATAGCTAAAAAAAAAAAACACAAAATCTTCATCATAAGAATAGTGTCTGAAGCAGTGTTGGCAGGCTAATGGTGATGGGGAAGTGATGATGGTGATATGTAAACAAACTCAGGTGTGTAGAAAAGATATAGGTGTGTGTGTAAACAACATATTGTGTATATAAACAAAGACTCAGATCTGTAAAACAAGGTCTCTGGTGTGTAAACAAGACTCGGGTGGATGGGCGTATCCTCCAGCAGCCGCCGGACGTACACAGTAACTGGGGTCTCGTCTCGTAAACAGGAAACAGACACCCCTCGGAGACCTGAACCAGACTTTAAGCGCATCATGACCTTTGAATACGAGAAAACTAAGTCCTGTCGGGCCTCTGAACGCTCTGGGGAGGGAGGGTTGGGAGTGAGGGGGGAGGAGAGAGGAAGGAGGGTAAGAGAGGGAGTTTTTGGTTGCTACCGTAAAAAGAATTGGTGGCAGCCGGTGGGATCTTGTAGGTAGTGTGTGTGGTTGTGGGGGGATCTCTCTCTCTCTCTCTCTCTCTCTCTCTCTCTCTCTCTCTCTCTCTCTCTCTCTCTCTCTCTCTTCTGAATCGTGAAAGGGTAAACAAAAGCAGGAAATTTACGTCTTGCTTTGTGTTGCTATAATAGAGAGATTTCGCTTCTGTGTCTAAGATGTGACTGTAACGTTTGTCTCTGTGTTGACAATGAACGTCAGAGGGACACAAACGTCTAATGCTATAATATACAGCATAACGAACGTCTTCTTCTATACGTTAACTCATATATATGGAGTTATGGGAGAGACGACCCTATATCATGGTATATAATAATGAAGATCTTGTTATAGGTGTTCTGATATACGAGTTAAACGAGAGATGACCCCATGTTATATAGAATGACCGTCTGTAAGTGAAGTATCATATGAGGTTATAGGGAGCAGCGACCTGATATCATGTTATATATAAAATGAAGTTTCTTTTGGAGGTAAATTGATTATATAAATGTATATAAAAAAAATCAGCTACTTATGTCCTCATTATATAAAAAAATAAACGCTTTAATGGGGTTAGGTGGACGAGCATGTACCCACTCCCCTCCCCTCCCCTCTCCTCTCCCTCTCCCTCAACCTTCCTCTTCCCTGCCCCCTCCCCTCTCCTCCCTCTCCCTCAACCTTCCTCTTCCCTGCCCCCATGTCATGGTAGAGAGCGAAGAGGGTGTTTTATGATGAGGGAGGAGAGCGGACCTTGACGTGTATTAAGTGAGCCAAGCGAGGTTAGAAGCAGCCATGTTGGGCGGGGGGAGACGAGTTGATCAAGTCGAGAGTAATTTTCTCTCTCTCTCTCTCTCTCTCTCTCTCTCTCTCTCTCTCAGTACCTGAATCCCATTTTAATGATGTACAGAAGTGATTTGTTTGCGACAGTGTTCAGTATTGTGATTACGAGTGACTTGCCTTCAGGTACTCAGGTGTTCGGGTACTCAGGTGTTTAAGTACTCAGGTATTTTAGTACTCAGTCAGGTGTCCATGTAATCAATTTTAGGAAAAGGGACAGGTAAAATGTTGGGAGATGGTACGTAATTATTACAGGTATATAGAACTGATAACAACAACAATAACAATAACAACAATAACAGCAACCACAACAACAACACCCCATCAGTATTACCAAGTCAATCTTAGAGGGAGAGATGGGTGAAAGAAATAATGGGTTAAATAAAACAAGGAATCCTCCCCAAGTTGGTAATAATGAACCACCATCTGAGAAAGTGTTAATCTTTTATATGAGGTGATAAAAGGTGTTATTGAAGGGTGATAAACAAGCATTATTTCCACCTTGAGAACCATTAATGAAATTACAGAGGTTCCTTTATGAATAATTAGGTGTTTTATCTACTTCATTATCTCCCCAGGTGGTGTGAGGGTGATGGTGGTGATGATGGTGGTGATGATGGTGGTGATAGTAGCAATAATGTAACAATACCAGTTTAGTATGGTGATATATAATAATATTTACTTGACGAAGGATGGTGAATCTTCTTTTAATAGGCTCCCCCAGGACGAGGAGGAGGGCCTGGTGACTGTCTCGACCCTGTTGGTGAATGTGAGTCGTGACGATGACAACGGCTTGGTGACCTGTACAGCAGAGAACCCCGAGGTGCAAGGGTCTGCCATCGCTAACACCACCTTCCTCACCGTCCACTGTATGTATATTACACCTTACCTACACCTGCATGTACACCTGAACACTATACTCTCTACCTGTCTACACCTACCACCTCACTACACCTGCATGTACACCTGAACACTATACTCTCTACCTGTCTACACCTACCACCTCACTACACCTGCATGTACACCTGAACACTATACTCTCTACTTATCTGACTACACCTACCACTCCTACGTTTCTACACCTGGTTTTACTACACTTACGCTTCTTCACCTGTTCACAATACACCTACACCTGCTCACACTACAATTACACATAAATACACCTGTTACACCTTCTCACAGTATACAAACACCACTACACCTACACACACACACTACACCCACACACACACACATACACACACACACACTACACACACACACACACACACACACACACACACACACCCCTACACCCCACACACACACACACACACACACACACACTACACCCCACACACACACACACACACTACACCCACACACACACACACACACCCTACACACACACACACACACAAACACCCCTACACACACACACACACACACACACACCTACTACCTACACCCACACCCACACTACACCCACACCACCTGTCTGCCCAGCTCACAACATACAGTGATCATTAAGCCCGGGTTAAAGTGTATTTGTGAAGCGTCTAACTTAAGCTGCTCAACAGTTTCGAACATTTCTGGACGCCCTGAGTTATTAAGTGTCTCCTAGAGGCTGTCAGAAGTTGATCAGACAGTGAGATTCTCCAGACACACTCAGGGTTAAAAAAAAAAAGATTTCTCACCCTTGTATTGGAGGTTTTACGATAAAGTGATGGACTTAAGTTACGATACAGTAATGGACTTAAGTTACGATACAGTGATGAATTCTTAAAGGATTGTAGGTTAAGTTATTGTATATTCCTTAACTAAAGACTGAAGTTACGGTACAGTGATTGCTTCTTAAAGTCTTGTAGGTAAAGTCTTAAGGTAAAAATCAATTCTTGTTTTGGTGTCTGTGTGTAAGTCGTAGCTTTAACTTAACTCGGTGTAAATACGTGTCATAAGCCCTCAACAGTTAAAGGGGAAAAAAGGGGTCATTATGTAGTTATGACGTCATTTTCTAATCTAAAATTGAGTTAAAGTTTGAAGTGGATTTTATTTTTTACATGTTTTATACAGCTACGATAAAAATAACATTATGACGTAAGACTCACTGAGAATCTCATCTTAAATTAACTCTGAGGATTAACACTGTCCCAACGTCACCTGTGCCCAAATTTTCGTGAGGGCGTATTCAGAAAACACACTTGAGTCTTAGCCAGCCCTCAAGGATTAGTCAACGCTCAAGTCATAGCCAACCATTGAGTCATAGCCAACCCTCGAGTCATAGCTCCACCTAATTAGTCACACACTCGACCCTGTCTTCCGAAACTCAGGAAGACGGAGAGGAGGGGAAGAGATGGAGAGGAAGCGAAGAGGGGGAGAGGAAGGGAAGAGGGAGAGAGGAAGGGAAGAGGGAGAGACGGGGGTTCTTTTCAATATGGCGGACGACTAGTGGAAAAAAGTGGCTAGCGGGAAGACCCATCGTTCTTTGAGGTCGTGTGTGTTGGAGTTAAGTGTGTGTTGGAGTTAAGTGTGTGTTGGAGTTAAGTGTGTGTTGGAGTTAAGTGTGTGTTGGAGTTAAGTGTGTGTTGGAGTTAAGCGTGTGTTGGAGTTAAGCGTGTGTTGGAGTTAAGCGTGTGTTGGAGTTAAGTGTGTGTTGGAGTTAAGTGTGTGTTGGAGTTAAGCGTGTGTTGGAGTTAAATGTCTTTGGAGTTAGTGTGTGTTGGAGTTAAGTGTGTGTTGGAGTTGAATGCGTGCATAAACTCAATATATATGTATGGTTACTGTTTATAGGTTGAACTTGTATATAGATTCAGTGATCATTTATGAATAAAATGTGTATAGATTCAAGTGTGTATAGAATCAGGAGTGTGTATAGAATCAAGTGTGTATAGAATCAAGTATGTATAGAATCAAGTGTGTATGAATCAAGTGTGTATGGAATTCAAGTGTGTATAGATTCAAGTGTTTATAGATCAAGTGTGTATATAGAATCCAAGTGTGTATAGAATCAGAATTGTGTATAAGAATCAAAGAGTGTTAGCCCATAAAGATCCAAGAATTAGTATATAGGGAATCAGAATGTGTGTAAGAATCAAATTGATATAGAATCAAGTGTGGCATAAGAATCAAGTATTGTATAGAATCAAAATTGTGTATAGAATCAAGTGTGTATAGAATCAAGTGTGTATAGAATCAAGTGTGTATAGAATCAAGTGTGTATAGAATCAAGTGTGTATAGAATCAAGTGTGTATAGAATCAAGTGTGTATAGAATCAAGTGTGTATAGAATCAAGTGTGTATAGAATCAAGTGTGTATAGAATCAAGTGTGTATAGAATCAAGTGTGTATAGAATCAAGTGTGTATAGAATCAAGTGTGTATAGAATCAAGTGTGTATAGAATCAAGTGTGTATAGATGCCGTGTATAACATTAGACAGCAGTAAGGGACAGAAAAACAGGTGTATTGTATGGATTACCTGTTGGCTCTCCGGTATCTGTCGCTCGTATTCTCAACTCGAGTGTCCCCGTTCGAAATCCCACTTGTGTTGTCTCGTTGCCACAGATCCTCCTTCGGTATCGGTGTCTCTGGGACGATCAATCAACCCTCAGCTACTGAAGGAAGGAGCTGATGTATACTTCACCTGTACCGTCGACGCCAACCCCCCAGCCTCCGCCATCACCTGGTACCATGAGGTATGTTATGGTTAGGTTAGGTTGTGGTTAGGTTTGGTTGTGGTTAGGTTTGGTTGTGGTTAGGTTTGGTTGTGGTTAGGTTAGGTTTGGTTAGGTATAGAGGTGCTAAGGGGCCTGACCTTCACTGACCTGACCCTTACCTTATCTATCTGCCCAGGATTCAGGTAAAATACATGACCTTACACAAGATACATTATGGAACATGACCTTAATTGACCCTCATAACCTAACCTCATACAGTATCTTTGACCTGACCTAATCTACCCTTTAGAACCCAGTGTAGGTTAGGTTAGATTAGGTATACAGAACTTTGATTGATTGACCTTATACAATTAACTCCCCTCTAAGTTATCCCCCAGGACACGATACAGGTACAGAACAAGTCTTAATTGACCCCCCAAAAAACTAACTCGGACCTCCTCTTCCCCCCAGGGCACGGTACAGGTACAGAACATGACCTCCGGGGTGATTCTCTCCGGGGACTCGCTGGTGCTGCAGAAGGTTAGCAGGATGAGGGCGGGGCAATACAAGTGTTCAGCCTCTAACCCTCTGGCCACCGTCATTAGTGCTCCCGTCCATCTCAGGATAAGGTGTAAGTGTACCGGCTCTTATAGTATCAGGTGTAAGTGTAACCGGTCTCTTAGTGCCAGGTGTAAGTGTACCAACTACCTTAATGCCGGGATAAGAGTGTGTGTGTGTGTGTGTGTGTGTGTGTGTGTGTGTGTGTGTGTGTGTGTGTGTGTGTGTGTGTGTGTGTGTTCATAGATTTCTTGCTTTCTATCTGCTGGTGATATCGGACACACACACACACACCCTCCCCCCTACCTCAAGACTACACACACACCTATCTCACACACACACACACACACACACACACACACATCACATCACCTCAGGACACACAAGACCCTCTTCCCCAACACACACACATACGCCCTCATTCCTTTCTCCCTCGCCCGTCCAAGAAGAAAGATTACTTTCACTCCTCCTCCTCCTCCTCTTCTCTCTGTTCTTTCTTCTCTTCCTCCTTCTCCACCCCCTTCCCCTTCTCTCACCCCACTTCCTCTCCCTCCCCCACCCCCTTCCCTCTACCCAACCTTCCTCCTCCATCAAACACCTCATATACACGTCTGCCTTCAAGAGAAAATTTCCTATCGTCTCCCTAGCTATCGTCTCCCCAGCAAGCCATCGTCTCTCCAGTCAGCCATCGTCTTCCCAGCCATCGGAAACTGATATAGACTGTTGGGTCGTCGTCGTGTATAGTGGTGGAATCCCTCACGGTTCGGTCTTGCAAAAAATGGTGGTCGATCGGTCGTTTAGTCGGATGGTCGGGTCTCGCGAGGGGTTTGGTCGGTCGTGTCGGCTCTCAGGAGAAGTACCAATGTGACGACTATTTTTTTTTCTTATTTCGGCGAGTGTTTTTGTTGGCGTATTGTTGTTATTGATTTTTTTTATAGGTTTTCTTCATTTTCTTGTGTTTTTTTGTGTTTTTGTTGAATTATTGTTTTTTTTAAGTTTTTCATAATTTTCTTTGTGTTTCGTTGTGTTTTTTTTGTCTTATTATTAATGTTTTTGTTTTATTGGTGTTTACTTGCATTTGTATCCCTTTTCTTAGTTTTCGTGTTGTTTTGTTGTGGCTTTTCTTGTTTTATTGAGTTTTTTTTTCCATTTTTCTTGTTTTTCTTACTGTTTTATGGTTTTATTTTTTTTTTTTTATTGCTCTTTACTTGCGACGTACTTCTAGTAATGTTGTCCTTTATTTTACAACCCAACCGTCCATGCGTCCGTGTTCCATGCGTCTGTGTTCCATGGGTGTCTGTAAGTTCCATGCGTCCGTGTCTCCATGCGTCCGTGGAGACATAAAACTCGCTAACTCACCTACCAAGAGAAGGATCTCAATGGAACGTACAGTATGAATGAGAACAGGACCTTCAGGCACCAGTACAGGAGCTATTAGCAATTTGTGTCTGTATTAGGGAGTGTTATTATCCCTGGGACTTTGTTATGGCACGGCGGGGGGCATGGGTGGGGGTAGGGAAAGGGGGGTTGGGGTGGGGGAGGAGGGGGCTTGGGGAAGTTTGGGGGACGTAAGGAAAGGGACGTAACTACGACCCCCTCTTGGCTATTCTTCAAGAGGTTGTCGTACTCAAGGGGTTAGGTTGTATTCAAAGGGTTAGGTTGTCGTACTCAAAGGGTTAGGTTGTCGTATTCAAAGGGTTAGGTTTGTCGTACTCAAAGGGTTAGGTTGTCGTACTCAAAGGGTTAGGTTTGTCGTACTCAAAGGGTTAGGTTGTTGTATTCAAAGGGTTAGGTTGTTGTATTCAAAGGGTTTGGTTAGGTTAGGTTAGGTTGTCGTACTCAAAGGGTTGGGTTGTCGTATTCAAGGGGTTAGGTTGTCGTATTCAAAGGGTAAGGTTGTACTCAAAGGGTTAGGTTGTCGTACTCAAAGGGTTAGGTTGTCGCACCAAAGGGTTGGGGTTGTCGTATTCAAGGGTTAGTTGTACTCAAAGGGTTAGGTTGTCGTATTTTGAAGGGTTAGGGTTGTACCTGCTAAAGTTGCTTAGTTGTCGTACTCAAAGGGTTAGGTTGTCGTATTCAAAGGGTAAGGTTGTACTCAAAGGGTTAGGTTGTCGTACTCAAAGGGTTAGGTTGTTGTATTCAAGGGGTTAAGTTATCGTACTCAAGGTCATGATAGAATCAACATTACTCACCATTGGTGTTCAAACTACTCAGTAATTGTCTCATCATGGGGGACACTTTACGTTCTACTCCTTGAAAGATTACCAGAATTAGTTATAATGTCGTAATCATTCTAGTTATGTGTACAGTAGTTCGTTATTCAAGTAGAGTAATTTGTTACGAACTGTGTGTGTGTGTGTGTGTGTGTGTGTGTGTGTGTGTGTGTGTGTGTGTGTGTGTGTGTGTGTGTGTGTGTGTGTGTGTGTGTGTGTGTGTGTGTGTGTGTGTGTGTGTGTGTGTGTGTGTGTGTGTGTATGTATTCTGCATATTTCACACCTTGTTTCACGTATACATTACTTCACTACTACACTTAGTCTGTGTCTTTAGTGTTTTGCTGCCATAGAGTGAGACTAGTGTGGTAATTGTGGTAGTGGGTGGTAGTGGTGTTTGTGAGGGTGGTGATGGTGGTAGTGGTGTTTGTGAGGGTGGTGATGGTGGTAGTGGTGTGTATGTGATGGTGGTGATGGTAATGGTTGTTATGTAATCCCACTGGTGTTGCTTGATTTTGCCTGAAAAGTGTAAGAGACAGGACCCAACACTACTGCTTTTTCTAGGCGACAGAAACTAGGAACCCTAACCTAACCTAACCTAACCTAACCTAACCTAACCTAACGTGACCTAACCTGACCTAAGCAGGGCGTGAAAATTATGAAAAATTCCCAACTTTCTGAAATACCAAACAGTGACTATTCCACTTCAATTATACCAAGACGTAAAATAACATCGTTCTATTACACTCACGTCTATAATCTTGTCTAATATAATATGTCCGTCTTACTTTTTAAATATAGTCAAGGACGCCATAATGTCCACATATGTCAGTGTCTTATATTCTTCTTCTGTAACTTTGTTTGTGATTGTGAGATGTATGTATGTATGTATGTATGTATGTATGTATGTATGTATGTATGTATGTATGTATGTATGTATGTATGTATGTATGTATGTATGTATGTATGTATGTATGTATGTGTATGTATGTATGTATGTATGTATGTATGTATGTATGTATGTATGTATGTATGTATGTATGTATGTATGTATGTATGTATGTATGTATGTATGTATGTATGTATGTATGTATGTATGTATGTATGTATGTATGTATGTATGTATGCCACCACCTCATATCACCACTCCACAATGTCTTATACTGTGATTTATTGGCCGACTTATTACCCCGTGACTATCAGGTCCTGCCGCTGGTACAGGCCGGGAAGAGGGCCTTGTCACGCGGCCTATTGGGGAGGTCAAGAGGCCAAGGAAGGGGGGTGGGGAGGGACAGCGGGAGTGGAGAGCCAGGAGGAGGGAGTGGGAGGTGAGGTCAGAAGGTAAGCAGGAGGGTGAGGTGGTGTGAGGTCCCAGGAGGTAGAAGAGGTGAGTTGGGGTCAGGTAAATGGTGTGTGTGTGTGTGTGTGTGTGTGTGTGTGTGTGTGTGTGTGTGTGTGTGTGTGTGTGTGGATGATGACCATGTGTGTGTGTGTGTGTGTGTGTGTGTGTGTTTTTACTTTAGCCCAAAGTCCTAGTTATTTTGGCTCGTCGATTGTATATTTATCTGTCTGTCTGTGTCTGTGTCTGTCTGTCACTCATGTTGTTGTAATCTGTCTCTCTCTCTCTCTCTCTCTCTCTCTCTCTCTCTCTCTCTCTCTCTCTCTCTTAAAAGTTTAAAATTTATTCCATCCTTTGACTAATTTATTTTAAAGTCTATTTTAATCATCATTCCCAACCTTTTACAAATTCCTGTTGTAACTTTCTTAAAACTAAATGAAATATGAATAAAAAAATAAATGAAATAAAAATCCATTCCTCATTTCCCTACAGATAAACCTGAATGTCTGACGTCACCAACCACATACTTCATCTACGACAAGCCAATCAACGTGACGTGCACCGTGACGTCACACCCGCCGGTCAAAGCCGTCCATTGGCAGTGGAATAGCAGCAGTGACGTCATCAAGACCCAGCAAGTCACCGAGCCTACTGAACGAGTCTCCACCCAGCTGACGGTGTTCCCTATCGAGACATACGAGGATAGGTTGCTGTCGTGCTGGGCTGTCAACGAGATGGGTAGACAGCCCCTCGCGTGCGGGTTCTCCATCAAAGTGGCAGGTGAGCTTATAACCAAATACCTGTGTGTGTGTGTGTGTGGATTATTGGATGTACTTAAGTGAATGATTGGATATCCTTAAGTGGATGATTGGATGACCTTAATGAATAACCAGGTGTCAATATTCTTCAGAGACTTAAGTATCTAATTTGAGTTTCTAATATAAGTGGGTCACAATATACCACCTAGCGCAGGTAAGTTCGTGGGGTTAATTAGGGTGCTTGTTTATCGCCTTCTACCTGCCTGTAAAGCTTTGTGATTAAGCCATGTTTTACCATCACTAAGGGATTATAGATACCTGTCGTGGTTGGTCGTGTCGTGGTTGGTCGCCGGTTGGTCGTCGTGGCTATCGCCGGCTGGTCGGCCGCTATCGCCGCCAACGTCTTGCTGGTCGCCGGTTGGTCGTCAGGCTGGTCGTAGGTTGGTCGTGTCGTGGTTGGTCGTGTCGTGGTTGGTCGTGTCGTGGTTGGTCGTATCGTGGTTGGTCTTATCAACATCAGATATTAGCTTCCACGAGTCTAGACAGATCGATTCCTCAACAGTACGAAGAGAGTCGGGTTAGGTTAGGGTAGGTGAGGTTAGGTTAGGTTAGGTTAGGGTAGGGTAGGGTAGGTTAGGTTAGGTTAGGTTAGGTTAGGTTAGGTTAGGTGAAACAAACTCCCCTGGTGCTCACTCCTCATAACCTAACCTAACAAATATACATCAAAGACTAAAATAAAAACAATAGCATTGATCTTAAGAGGTTCAAGACCCCGAGATGTTTGGCTGAGGAAGAGTAGGAGGAGAAGACAGCCGGCCAAGTGTCTCTGCGGCCAAGAAAAATGAATCCTTTGAGCCATCATGTGTCTCATAGCCTTGTGGCCTTGTGTGTCGCAGCGGAAGAGGACCTGAGAGAGGGACGAGTGGTATATAGAGAGAGGGATGAGTGGTATTTTGAGAGGGAGTCGAGTGGTTATATGGAGAGTGTGGGAGTGGGAATATGTGTGTGTGTGTGTGAAGACTCTCAAAACACCATTGGTACTCCATTGCTCTACATCTTCTTTACTCCCTCTCACGGTGAAAGAAGGGAAATGAGATTAAGAGTAAAAGAGAGTGAGTGAGTGAGAGTGGAGGTAGAGTGGAGGTAGAGTGAGAGTGGAGGTAGAGTGAGAGTGGAGGTAGAGTGAGAGTGGAGGTGGAGTGAGAGTGAGGTAGAGGGAGAGAGTGAGGTGAGTGAAGTATGGGAGGTAGAGGCTCATACCAACTCTGATAAAGAAGGCAATGTTAACGCCAGCTTGAGCGAATTTAATTGGAAACCCATGGTGGTGGCGGAGAGGTGATTGCACCCATGAGGAAATTAGCTGCGGCAAACGGACGGACGTGTGTGTGTGTGTGTGTGTGTGTGTGTGTGTGTGTGTGTGTGTGTGTGTGTGTGTGTGTACGTGTGCTGCCTTGGTGTTTTTGAATGTGTGTGTTTAGGTGGTTTTCACTCAGAGGTCATTGCTTCTGTGCTGATTTAATTAAACCTCACCGAGATACAGGTTTGTTTGTTGGTGTCTGTCTGTGTGTTTGTGTTTAGTATTGGATGGGATTTTGTCCACTGGAAAATTGCCCGGTAAAATTTTATTCAATGGACTATTTACATCTATGGCCTTTTAGTACAGTATACGAATTTTGTCCAATGAAGAACTACTCATTGAGATTTTGTCCGAAATTGTCCTCTGGGAACTAGTCTACTGAGAAGATAGAATTTGTTAATTAGGATCATATTTGTCTGTTTTTGCCCGATGGGTTTGTGTGTTGCCATGACAGTGTGAGAATGTGCTGGTAATGAGTCATACTTAGTGGTGGAAATCTCTCTCTCTCTCTCTCTCTCTCTCTCTCTCTCTCTCTCTTTTACAAAGGTTGGGTCTCGTAATAACTTTTTGATTGCATTCTAATCGCCGCTCGTGTGCTGATTGGCCAAGCTTTCAGTTGGCCAATTAGCGGACGCGAACACCTCTGGCATTTCTGATTGGCTCATCAATTACTAAAGTGATCCAAATGAAATATCCAATAACCCTAATATAGGCTATAAAAGCTACTCTGTATATATATTTACGTTTATCCTAAAACATTATACACACTCATACGCATTCATACATATTTTCATATACATTCCAAACAATGAAAGTAAAGGGAATTAGTCGTAGATGCCAGAACTGAGCCATAGGTGGATACTTAATTAATTTACAGGTGAGAATGTTGTACTAAATCAGTGGAATAGTTTTTAGACTCATTTGACCCCTCAGCAGATAATGTGTGTGTGTGGGTGTGTGTGTGGGTGTATGTGTGTGTGTGTGTGTATGTGTGGTGATAGTGTACAGTTGCATAACACACACACACACACTGTACACCACCACCATTACGTCGTACACACATAAACACCCACAGGTAATCTTCAAAGGTGTGTCTCGCGGGCGGGTGGCAGAGGATATGAACGTAATAAATCAAAGGATTCTTCACGCGAGAAAGACATACGTACATACCTGACCAATGTACACCAGGTGACAACAGTGTATATATCTTATTTATGGGCAATATAATATTATAATTGGGAGGGAGAGAGATTACAGAAAACGAAGATGATTTAAGGGGTGACAGAAGTAGATGAGGGAATTGTACGTTTATGAAGAGTGGGGGAAATGAAATAGCAAATAAGGGGAGTAATGGAAGTGCCAGATGAAGGTAGGGGAAGCAGAGGAAGACGGAGAATAAGATGTGGTTAAGAGGGTTAGAGGAAGAGGGTGGATAAGAGGGAGAGATGGGAGAGAGAGAGACATGAATAACAAGAGAAGAACATACAGGACCAAGAACTGTGAAGGAGACGTAAAGGAAGACAAGGAATGAGATGAGAGAGAGAGAGAGAGAGAGAGAGAGAGAGAGAGAGAGAGAGAGAGAGAGAGAGATGCCCATTTTATTTAATGCTCCTCTGGTCTGGGCTCTGCCCCTTTTCTTTTACCCCAAATCTATTATTGTCTATTGATGTTGTGATGGTGTTATGGTAATGGTGTTATAGTGTTGTGTTGGTGTTATGGTGATGATGTTGTGGTGTTGTGATGGTGTTGTAATTCACTATAAACTCCATGAACAAATAGAAACTTCGCTGATAGAGAGTCAATTTGCTTGCTGTCTTCCATTCCGTCTATCTGTCTGTCACTCTGTCTGTCTGTCAGTACCCCAGATGGTTTCTACTCAGAGAGGCAAATTTGTTGTCGGTCTCACTGCAACAACCAAGCCTACATGTGTGTGTGTGTGTGTGTGTGTGTGTGTGCACCATTGATGATCCGGGTTACGTTCGAGTGGTGACTCTGGTTACGTGTGTTGCTGTTGTGTTGATGATGCTTCTTATTCTATCTTCTTATTATTTCTTCTTTCTTCTTCCTTCTACTTCTTACTCATTTTCCTCCTCTTTCCTGCAGAGATGCCGTTGCCGTTGTCTTCCTGTCGCCTGGCCAACATCACCGCCTCTTCCCTCAGCCTCACCTGCCAGCGTCCCGATACAGTCACAACGGGAACTACACTCTACAGGGCTGAGGTAGGTGACCACTGTCTCTCTTTCATTCTCTCCTGACGTAGCCACAGCAGGAAGTACCACCCATCACACAACCTAGATTCGTTCCATCTCCACCAGCACCACCATCTTCCATAGCTCCTTTACACTCTCCTGACGCAGCCACAGCAGGAATTACCACCCCTTTCCACCGCCACCGTCCCCCACAGCCCCCCAACACCACCACCACCGTCCTACATAGCTCCTCCAGTCGCGAGTGAAGATGACAGCACCCACAACATACTGATAGGTCACAAATACCAGTTAGGTGAAAAGAGCAACGCACAATACCTTTAACCTGATTCTCTTTCGAGCTTAATGCTGTTAAACTCACAATTACTCGGTCGAGTCCTCCTCCACCTCTCCATTACCGGCCTGTAATGTACGTCAACACTGCCAGTAGTCTTTTTCTATATACTTGTGTGTCTAAGGTTGTTGTAGCACTTGTACTGTACTTGAAGATGACGGTGAGGATGGTTGCTCTATGTGTGTTCTTTGAAGATATTGTGTCTGAAACTATATTTTTTTTTTGTTACCCATTCCTTTATCTAATTTTTGTAGTTATTGGATGGATTAAATAACAAAATTACAAGAGTTTTTACAAATTAAACATTTACATCAATGTGCAGAGACTTTTTACAAATCCGTTTCTCATAATCTCCTTCCAAAAAATACGTAAACAAAGTCTTTTTACTATTGTATTAGATCAATATATATAAAGGCAGGGGAGGGTGGTGGGTCGCATTATAGGTTATACACACACACTGCCTTAAGATTCCCTTGGTGACGTCATAAAGCTGAGTAAATGAAACGCGGGTGGTGATGTCCGTAGAGTTTTACACAATTTGCCAACTTGTCCGGGTAGAATTTATTATTTTTCTTAAATACGTTTGACCTTATTTAGGAACAATGTTTAGAAGAATCACTTAGATAGTCATTTAGAAATATTATTTAGAACTTCGTGAAGATTAATTAATGATATTAGGTTAGGTTAGGTTATTATTTACATGGTTAAATATCACTTGACAAAATACATTGAGAGAAGCTCTCTTGTCATTTACTTTATTGTCCTATTATTGTTTTCTTTTGTTTTCACTCGTTTCCTCTTCGTTTTTATCCTCCTCCTTCCTTCCTCCTGAATTATTGTGCTTTTCCCGTGTTCCCTAAGAGCTTTACGCTTGGCTGTGTCAGTCCTACAGGGGCATAGCAGAGCTTAATGTGGAACAGCAGGTGAGGTCTCTCTCTCTCAAAACCTCCAACCGCCCTTTCATGTTCTCCTTCCTCTATTTTCTCTCCTCTTTACTATTTCTATTCCTCATCTTCCTTTCTATTTCTTCGTCGCCTGTCCCTCCCTCTCTCTCTTTCCTGTTCTCTTTCTCGCTTTCCTCTCTTCCTGTCATCCTCTTCTCTCTCTCTCGTGTCTCCCTCTCCTTCTCCTCCTCCTTATCTCTCTTTGGTATCTTCCCCTGCTTCTCCTCTCCTCTTCTCATCCTCCTCTTTCTCCTCTCATCTTCTCTCTCTCGTGTCTCGCCCCCTCCTCCCGGCCAGAGCTGTGGTTCCGACAAACTGCCTTCACCTGCAAATTGACTACCTCTCCTCCCCACCTTCCTCCCTAATTAGCCCAACTGCTACGCTATTATACTAAATCTGGAGAAAGAAAATGTTGGAGAGGAGGAAGAGGAAGTGAGAGAGAGAGAGATAGGAGGGTTGAAGAGGAAGTGAGAGAGAGAGAGAGATAGAGGGAAGGAAGAGGAAGTGGAGAGAGAGAGAGATAGAGGGGAAGGAAGAGGAAGTGGAGAGAGGAGAGAGGAGAGAGAGAGAGAGAGAGAGAGAGAGAGAGAGAGAAGGAAGAGGAAGTGCAGGAGAGAGAGAGAGAGAGAGAGAGAGAGAGAGAGAGAGAGAGAGAGAGTGAACTGTTGTGATCCACGGCTGAATGAGTGTCTTTACCTTTAGTGACGTCAGATATGTAAACAAAGTCAGTAAGGTAAACATAAACAATATGTGACAAGAAACATAAAAAGTTCAGACCCACAAGACATGGCGGCGTTAAACAAGGGGAGGATAAGTACACCTCCGTTTTCTTTGTTTATTTAATGAGATGTTATAAAATCGGTGTGCTTTTAGCGTATACTTATTTATTTATTTATTTATTCAGAAAGGGTGTGTCCTGGGAGGCTTAAAACGAGTGAAGGATTAATTCACTTTTAAATGTGTTCTGATGTTAAGGCTCTTTTATAATGATTTTTTTTGTGTCATTAGTTATTAGTTAAAGTAGAAAGATGTTGAATTAATCGGATTCGAGAGAATTTTGTATGACAGTAACTCTCTCTCTCTCTCTCTCTCTCTCTCTCTCTCTCTCTCTCTCTCTCTCTCTCTCTCTCTCTCTCCAGTGACGTTGATTAGATTGTTCAAGTAAAAATACAATTAATTTAAAACAGATCTACGTAATATTCTTTTGTTACTCGGTCTAATTCATATATAACCTAAAAAAATAACTAAACCACATTCTATAAAACTAATTCATTAATATAGTTACATAAGAGAATATATAAGAAAATATATACAGAAATAGAATATAAAATAAGTGTATTGATAAAAATAATATAAAAATAATAGTGTAAACCTTTATATAACATTTGGGGTGATGGTGTTAGCTGGCCGCATTATGAAAATACCACATGGAGATTAAGCGAGGGTAAATGCTATTAAATATTCATCACTCAGCATATTAAACTATTAATTTGCAACAGCTGCTAGTTTATATATGTAATGTCCTCACGAAATACTGTTAATGGTTCCGTATAGATTTCAGAAACCTTAAAGTTAGAGTTCATAGAATTCGTAAATGTTGAATCGTATTGTATTAACTGGAGGCGTATGTTAGTAAATAAACCCAATTCCAACTAACTTACAGTACCCGTTGAATAAGTTGTCGACATTTGGTAGTCTCTAAGATTAAAGGTATTTATAAAATTTAATATAAACCAAATTAAACGAAGTGAAATAAATCTAATAATCTTAAGGATTTTTTTTAAAGTTTGGTTAGGTTAGTTTAGGTTAGGTTAGTTTAGGTTAGGTTAGTTTAGGTTAGGTTAGTTTAGGTTAGGTTAGTTTAGGTTAGGTTAGTACGGAGGACGAAAAATTTTAGTGCCGTAGTCCCAGCCGTTAATTTTTGTAAACAATCATTTGGATGCTGCTTGTTTCGCGGGCTTATTTAATCGTGGTTTTATCAGAGATGGATCGTTCCCTTAACAACCAATCCCTCGCTTCCTCCTTTACCTCTGCTTTACGTCAGGTGTCTTTTTCGACAGGTGTTTTAAATTGATGTTACAACGATGAAGTCGCTTTTACTATTATTATTATCCCATTCTTTCAACAGTTTTCTGAAACTGCTGCATCATCATGACTCAACCTTTCTCATTTTCCTCTCTCTCTCTCTCTCTCTCTCTCTCTCTCTCTCTCTCTCTCTCTCTCTCTTACAATTTCACACACAAAAATCAGCTAAGCCAATACACAAGACCGAGCTTCCTGACCGAGGCTTCCTGACCAAGGCTTCCTGACCAAGGCTTCCTGACCGAGAGTTCCGCCTTGTTGTAGGTCATGGGGCTGTACAGTGGTCAGTTCGGCTTTAAAATCCTCCAGCGTGAGAGGATTATTTTTTTTTTTTTTTACAATCTGCGAGTAAAAATGGTTTCTGATACATGGACAATATATGATACGTGGACTAGATACATTGACTGATACATGATACGTGAACAAATATTATACATGACAAACTCAGCCATAAAAGTGTTACTGGGGAATTACTGGTGATACATGTTAACAGACACACACACACACACACACCATAGTTCACAGACCAACCCCAGAATCCAAATTTCGCGGAATAACTGTGTCTAATATATTGAAATTATTGAAATTGGTGGAATAAAAATTTGCATACACCTTCACCACGAGCGAGGTATAAAAATTATTTCACTCTAGTCAATATTTTTAGCGCTTGGAAGAGTGGTGGTGGTGGTGGTGTATTTTGCTGTGGTGGTAAATGTGGTACTGTGGTACTTACATACATACATACATACATACATACATACATACATACATACATACTTTACACACATACATACATACATACATACATACATACATACATACATACATACACAGGGACTATCGGTCCATAAGGCTTTTCACATCAGTTCACTGTTCATACTAAATCGTGACGTCATTGTTAAAACACAATGAACAAATTACACTTGCAATACTTTACAATACGTCTCTCCAGACTCCGAGTTACTTCACTGCACTACTAAACACTTAAAACACACGTGCGCGCGCACGCACACACACACACACACACACACACACACACACACACACACACCCCTCGTTCAATGAACCAAAAACTCATCACTGTTATAATATTTGTTTTCGAAGTATATTACATGACCTGTATTTAATAATGTTCTGTACCTAGAAATCAAGGTTATAAAACAATTATTAAATGCGTTACAGGGAAGGTATATATAAATCGTTATGAATCCCGTCATTTATATTTGTCATTCTAAACATTATAAGAACTATTTTCACAAGGGAAGTCTGTGTTGCATCGCCCAGTCGCTTAACTGTAAAGCTCAACATTTCATCCATTTACAAGAAAAATGTGTTATGTTGCGTTAAATGGCTCGATTTTATGGAGATTTGTGAGTTTAGGAAAATTAAATGAAATTATGTATCAGCGTAAATGAGCAGTTCAGGTGATTTAAACTCGAGTAGAAGTATAGTATAATCTGAGAGGGTTAATCCTACTTAAATCCTCGGTAATCCTATCAGGGAATCCTATTTTTTTGTTTCGTAGTTTCGTTTGGTAAATCCTTATTTTTATCTACACTAATTGAAATTATTCCTTTTAATCTTATTTATATTTTTTGTGTAATATTTTGTGTAATTTATTTTTTATTAATCCCTTTTGGAATCTCGATTGA